TTCTGGTAATTCCCCCTAATTAACACCAGCCTGCTAATAATAAATTAGGCCCTATGTGTTTCTGATATAACCAAGATCTTGTCTGAGCACAAGATATTAACCAATGTCCCGAGAAAGTAAAACTCAAACCTAAATTAAGCCTTTGCTGGTAAAAGGATTTATATGCAATTTTGTGAGAAACCCTTTGAAGATCTCATACAGGGCATTTTGACCAGCAAACATTTTGAGTGACAGAGAGATTTGTTCTGTGCTGGGCAGTGAAAGTGGATTTATTGTGAAAACACACTGTTGAGTTTTAAGCCTATAAATCTTACACTGGATTACAGCATCTTAATGAATGAATGACAGATCTCTTTTTTTTTGTCGGTGCATTTTAATGTTACGTGACGTTGTGATTGATAGAAACCAAACCTTTGCCATTAAAATGTCAAACGCAGACTTGATGTCTTTAAAAGTTTGGCTTCTGGAGTTTAATACACTGTTTGCAAATAGACTTGCATTTGTCTCATTCATAGCCTAAACACTGAAGGGGAGGCAAGCTTTCTGTAAAGTTGCCTCTAAGTTTTATAGAGCTGTGTGCAGTGTTTTCCTTTGCTTGTGTAAATAAAGGTAGAAAACAACGGTGCATTTGCCTAGTTAAGAGATACTCAGCGAAGGAGAGTCTTACCAGGCTGGTATTATCATGAAGTAATTGGCCATGTTATAGTAGACGGTTAAGTATCGCATGGTGAAAGTGGAGACTGCTGTGTGCCAAGGCTAGGTACAGTATTGGATATTGCTTGCCAGAGTAGGCAGTATTTCCTTAACAGTCTCAACTTAGGAAAAATATTAACCACTTCTGAACAAGCATTGCAAAGTATTCCGAGATGGTCAGTAGAATGAAGCAACAGTAGTAAATAAACAGTAATTGGCTAATATTGAGTTTTACATTGTTCCATATTCTACAGTGCTCAATACCATATTTCCATCTTCCATTCTACCTTAAGAATGGAAGATGGAATGGAAAAGAATCAGAGACTCACTGAGGTTGGAAGGGGTGTTTGGAGATGAAGGGACCTTGACTAGACTAAGGCCATGTCCAAGTATCTCCAAGGACAGAAACTCCCTGAGCAACCTGTGCCAATGTTTGACCATCCTCATAGTTGTCCTGTCACTAAGTACCACTGTGCCGGGTCTGGCTCCATCTTCTTTACTCTCCCCTCCAAGTATTTGTGCACATGGATGAGGTGCCCCCTGAGCCTTCTCTTCTCCAGGCTGAACAGTACCAGCTCTCTCAGCTTCTCCATGTGTGACAAATGCTCCAAGCCCTAGCTTTTCACTCCCACATGTCCATGTCTCTCTTGTGCTGGAGAGACCAGCACTGGACCAGTGTCTCACAAAGGCTGAACAAAGAAGGATAAGCACCCCTCTCAAACTGTTTGCAATGCTCCACCTAATGGAAGGTCCTTTCCAACCCTAACTATTCTATGATTCTATGATCCCAGGAAGTTGGTGGTCTTCCTTGTTACAAAGAGGAAATCTCTGGCTCATAGTCAACCTGGTGTCCACCAGGACCCCCAGGTCCTTTACTGTAAAGCAAACCTCCATTATACCCCCAAAACCTGAAGAACAAGCAACTCAAATGGTATCTATTCATGTGTACTATCATAACTTTCCTTTACTATCTATGATTCAGGAAAAGAAAACATCCAACGACATCCAACACAGAACAACTGAGGACAGAGAGTTTGGAGGTTTGTGTTGGATTTGTTTGGTTTTTTTATTATAATTACATTTGCAGATATGAACAGCCAAAATTGATGCTGAAGACTATTAAACACAAGGAAGGAAATCACCAGGACTTAACAGCTGGTTGTTTAGCATAAAACCTAATGAGAAAAAAAAGTATTCAAACAATCTGTGAATTCACATAGTTCCCCTTCTTACTCTTGCTTGCTAAGCCACTTACTTATATGGCTAGATGATGCAAGTAGCTCCATGAAGAAACAGGTATGCAACTGAAGAGACCAATACACATTGAACCACAATTTGACTCAATGTTGCTTTTAAGTTTATTGCATTGTTATATTAAGCATTTATATTTACATACAATTCTGAATTATTTAGCTACAATATACCAAAACTGTCGTGATGATTCAATTATTCATTTATAAAGACCTTCTATCTTCAAACAAGAGTTAAACCCAGTTCTCTTACAGGCAATTTTGGAAGAAAAATAATTACTGACTGAAAATGCATGCAAAAAACTACGGTGGTTAGGTTACTATCATGTCTCTCCTGGCTTTCTAACATTCCCTCAAAACATAAATGCTATACATGTGTTGTGTGAAAAATAGTTGGGAATCTCATAAAATCCCCAAATGGTGATAGAAGGGTGCTGATTATTGCTATATGTCAAGTCTGCAGTCAAATACACATATGTGTATGTGTATATATACGCATGTCTCCCAATGTATGTGCACGTATAGAGAAGTATATATAAACACATACACACACTCACACACCAGAAAATTCTAGAGGTAAATATGCAGGCTTACAAATAAAACAAAATACAAAGATACTAGTATGAAATAGTCCTAAACAAAAAAAGATAATAAATATTCAGTGAGATATATGGCATTATTATAAAGTGCTCTACTAAAATCTCACTTGTTAAAATAACAATAAAAATTATGTTCCTTTTAGTCAATTTATATAATTTGGTAGAGCCATTAAATATTATTATGTATCAGCGACTCTATGCTTCCTTTTAAATTTTAAACAAATAGATAGAAGCAGAAATAAAAGGCGAAGCAGCTAAATGAAGCAGTACTATTGGAGCCTTCCAGGCTTTTGTCCTCAAATTCATTCATGACTGCAAAATGTCAAGCTCTAGAGTTTATAGATTAAGAAGTACAATTCCAATTAAAATTATGAAACTAAACAAAATTCAATTTGATCTTAAGGACAATGACAAAATGAGAAGTTTCTATCCTACTTTAAAATAGAAAGGTTTGTATTGCAGAAATAACTGAACGCCTTATCCTGTGCACTCCCATCCTCTTTCCTCATGCATGTGCAATATAGTTCCACTGAAACCTAGTCTCTAGGTCTCATTTCTCCCCATTCCACCTAATTTCAAAAGCAACCTGGCTCATATATTACCATATCTTGACCAGTCTGCTTCCACCCTTCTGATTTTCAGCCAAACTCATGAAAGAATACATCTACAAGAGTGTAAACATTTTGAACAGCTTTATGCCATTTCTTCCGTACCACCAGAAGTTAAGGAGACACGTGGTAGTATTGAAGAAAAAACAACTTCAGGAAATAAAGTGAAACAGCCCCACAATGTGAACCTGTCTCACTGAATTAATAAGAAAGCGAAATATCTTTTCATATTTTAGTCCAGCAATTTTGGTTTTCTCTTCCCCCTCTTCTGTTGACATTCCTTGTTACAATTGCTTTACTCAACCATGGCAACTTTTTGTGATTTCCCCCATGGTTTTATGTATAAACCTGTCTTCTGTATCAGCAAAAAAACCCAAAAAACAAACCAACAACCCCACCCCAAACAACAAAACCAGCAAATGGTTGCTTTTAATGTCTACTGGAAAGCACACTAAAGACTAATGATTCAGCTCTGACATCCCAGTTGAATTAAACAGCATGTAAATTCAACTTCCTTCAGGAATCTGATCTGGCCCTGAGAGGGCCCACTTCTCTGTTGTGCAACTTTGCTGGCGTGACTTTCACCCCATGCCAAGGGTCATCACCTCTTCCCTATCTATTCCTATCAACACCATCCCTACCCCTATCCCTGTGTGGGACTTAGCTGGTGCACTGGTCTTGCACTGACTCTCTGTATGGAGGCAAAATCCATATCAAGCCATAGAATTGGCTACAGCTCCTGGCTTGCAGTAAATGCATAATGATAGCATTGTCTTTCTGCTCCCTTCCAAGAACTGAGAGATACTGAGCTGCCTAACTCATATTATATTAGTCAACAATATATTCCCTACATCTGAAAGAAGAGAGACAAATAGAACCTAAACTAATAAAAAAATCGTAACAGCTGAGCAAGAAAGCAAGTTTTCGGTATACTACCTGGCACACCACCAATATACATATTCATGAGCTACATGGTAAAGAATGTACTGAGAGAAAAACAATGTCCTCAGTTGCACTTCAGCAGTTTCCCTTATTCAACACCAGAGTCTCACATTCTGGATATAAAACTGTTGCCTGCAGATTCAGTGCAATTTCCCCTTTCCAAGGCACTTAAAACTATCTAAAACCTGAACTGCGAACATAAGAGTGTAACTCCCTGCTTCAGTATTTTTAAGATCTGCTCTGACATTTCCATCCTGTCAAACATACCTTCACTAGCAGGTTTTTTTTGGCTAGTATTCTGGTAGTACACCAGTTAAGGAAGAAGGAAGAGCATCCCATTTATGATTTCTTCTAAGTGGCATCTTCTCAACTGTTCTTGTTCACCAGCATAGCCACCACCCCACATAACTGCTTTGTAAAAATCTCTGTCCTTTGCAGACCCATCAGAGATTTAACTGCAAAGGCACAGGTACATGTGATTGTGCAGGAGGCTTCATCATGTATGAGTATTAGATAAAAATATCAGTTGAACTATATATTCCATGTAATATTAATTTGCTTTGAGTTCCTTTTAATGGAGTTTAGCTGCAACACTTCTAGACACACTTCAAATAACATCGCAGTAAAGTGATCTGGACTGCTGAAGCCAAACTCCTTTTATTTGTTGAATAGCAGCAAACCCAAGACTTCTAATAGCAATATTTATTTTTATAGACACTTCACATCTCATGCTGAAGCAGATATAAATGTGGTCATAAAATCATGAAACCAATACACTAATGTGCCAAATGTAGAGGTAAAGACACTCTAATTGTTTGGTTTGGGTGCAATTCCCTGATCCCTATCTTCTTATGAAGCAAACCCCTGATTGATAAATGCTCTAAAAATTTGTGTATAACCCCCTCCGCAAGTTTCTACATTTTTTTTCCATTCTAGAAAATCATATATAAATAATTTTAACCAATTACTGAAAATGGACATTTTAACCTTTCTTTCTGCTCAGTACATTTGTTACACAAGATGAGCTACACGCATCAGATGTTGATAGAGTGAGCATGTTTCTTGCACAGTGGCTTGTCCTTCTTGGAGAAGAAAGTCTGACCCTCCAAACTGTCATTACATACCTGAAATGGGATAAAAAAAGAGAAAAGATCACCCAATTCAGACGGAGGAATTACACCGTACATTATTCAGAATGCTAAACCATGGCAACTGTGCACAAATATATTCAAAGAATAAGAATTATTACCTTTTTCTTAGGGATACTCTTTTTGATGTAATACTAATGGTTGCTGTAAGCATAACCTTTCTTTCTCTAAGTCAGCAAGTTCTTAACTGGGAGCAGCGTTAGGTTCAGCATTTAAAAAGAAATCCAACCATTAGGATTGGGGGGTTGGGGTTGGTTTTTTTTTTTTTTGTCATACAATATTAGCAGGTGATACATTGGCTACAGCATCTTTATATCAAAACACAGCCTGTTCCTGTATGGCCTTCAAAGCTTGCTCTGAGGAAGGGTTAACATCAAGGGTTAAATGCCAGGACACATGGCTGCAACACAGGCCAACTTGTCTGGACCGGTGCCAAAGGCTCACAATAGCAACACACCTTCCAAATAACTGGGAAAGTGCTTTTTGTTTGGGCTCGGAGGATTGAAAGAGGCTATAGTTGTTAACTCCTACATTGGTCAGGTTAGCACAAGCACTGCTGCCATGGGTTTGTTTAAAAGGTAGATTAGTTTTACTTACTGAGCATACAAAGCAAGTGTCATGCCAAGTGTGGCCCAGAGCTTCAAGAAACCTGTCTCCAGCTTCAATGGGGAATTCACAGCCATGGCACATAGTACCGAAGAGGGCATAGTAATCTGCAAACAGATACAATCAGGTTTTAAAGGTGAAGCATCTGCAGAAAAACAAGACTGATCCTTTGAAACTGTTGTGCTTTTCTTTCAAGGGCAGTGGGTTTGCACTAGCTGAGTTTTGTAATACTGGGTACCCTGAGTAAAGAGTTCCTAGATTGAGAGACCAGGATGCCCTCCTTTCCTCGCTGATTCAGTTCTCAGCCCCCTCCTTACCCTTTCAAGTGAGCAATGCTTCCATCTTCCTGGAGTTTCATTTCCTTGAGATCAATAGCACACTCAGGGTAGGGAAATGCACTCCTTGCAGAGCACCTGTGTGGGTTCTATGTGCTCCTTACGTTCTCTCCAGCTCTGCCTTGAAAGCATACCCTGACTGTTCACAGGACTGACCTCCTCAGCAAGTAACAAGCTCCTGCCTACCCGGACTGCACTACACAAAATCATGCCATCATTAGGCTTCTGTCCTAAACAGAGTCTAGCAATTTGAATCAAACCAGAACAGTTTTCTAGTCAATGGAGTGTATTATATGGCTTTAAAAAACCCCAACCAACCAACAAAAAATCCCCCCCACACAAAAAAAAATCCAAACCAAAACCAAACCAGAGGCTTTAGGGTATATTAATTGTTTCTAACAAAAAGTATCAGTAGGGTGTTAGGATGGTTTTCAGTGAATGCAATCACTGAAGGGTAATTGCACCATGCATTTTTAGCCACAATATTGATTTGGTGCTGTTGGAGGCTACCCTGAAGTGAAAAGTTCCTCCAGCAGTCTCAGGGAGCAAGGACCAAAACAAAGGGCACCGAGCCATTCATATTCCTCGCTGACTGCACAGCTTGAAAAAGAGAGAGCAGGGCAGAATAGTAGGATTAAATGCATGTATAAAGTTGGGTGGGAGGCACTGACATCCACACCCACCCCCATGGTGACACTCACTTTTCTGTGTATAGAGCCATCTCAGGGGCTGCAAGTCACCACAGCCATTTCCTGCCTGCCAGTGCAGACGTTTCACCCCAAGTTTTCTGTTTTTTTCCACTTATTTCAACTCTCAAACACCCCATTCTAAGAAGGAAATGTTTTCTTGCACAGAAGACAACAGCATTAGTGCTGTAACACGAATGAATTTGGACTCAGCAGACTATCATAGCAAATACATAATGTCATGCAACATTACGTCTTCATAAGATGAACTTATGAACAGAGTGGCAACCATAATGAAGCTTTGGACTCCATCCTTTATATTAACAGTCTGCCTCTGACAGGGAAATTAGATGTCAGGGATTGTTTTCAAGGACACTTATAAAGAATGGCAAGCAGGGTACGAGATTTTGTTTCTCTACTAGATCATACGGATGTGCTGAAGCTCTAGTACCTACTGTAGCAGAGCCTAAGAGGAAAGCTCTGGTTTTGTTCAGTAAGACAGTGTTTTGTATGATGACCTCAAAAAGCATAATCTTAGGAGGCATCTCAGAGGAATGGGGAACACAAGTGCTCTGGAAAAGCAAAGCCCTCGATGGCTGCCTGTGGCGAGAAACAGCTTCCCTCGTCGCCTGCCTTAATTTGTGCTACTGGGATGAATTTGCAAGTGTTTAAGCAGAAGACAGAGAATAAAAATGTCAAATGGTAGGACATATTTGTGCAAAACCCCTGAAGGACAGAGTCTCGTGACCATACTGTTTCAGCTCTTTGCATCTGTGTCCATACAGAATCTTTTAGTGATATTCCTGGTGCCAGTAGTTAAAGCCCTTTGTAAGTTGGCTGTGGTTTGTGTTGATAAGTTTATTGGCTTTTCTTCTGAAGAAAGGGCAATAGATAAGGCAGACTGAAGGGCATAAGTTTTCTTTTGCTTTTGCATGCTTGAATTGCATACCATAGAAGCCTTCCAAAGCAGACTTCTCATCCAGTCACATATCAATGCTTCCTGCAAACAGCATAACTAGATTACTAACTCTGCACTTAAAGTTCAAAGTTGTAGATAATCTGCATTTTTAATTTAATTTAGCGTTGACATCCAAACCTAGAACATTTTGCAGATTAAACCCCGTTAGTACTAATAGCTAATGTTATTATAATTTCAAACATAGATTTAAAATTAGAACCTTCCTTTGCACTAGGAAGTAAAGTTGGCAATGACATTTACTCCTTATTTCTTTAAAATTAGTCAGAGGCTCTTAGCTCCAGCTAGACTGAAAGTCTTTGAAGAACAAATATATCTGAAATTAACATCTAGTTAGAAAGCCATGGCCATTACAATGTGTCACTGCCAATAACACCTCACAGAATGCATCTACATTAACTTGTGCTACCAACCTTCAATCTCAGAAATAAACTTTGTGAGAAGCATAGTATTCTTGACATTTTTATCCCAGTTTCCTGCTCACAGTATAGGAAAGCGTGCATTTGTGCAAGGAAGTTGTAACAGTAGCACAAATCAATGCACCACACAACATACGGGTCATTTGGTGGCAGGAACAAGAATTCAATATTAGCAGAACAAACTTGGTCACGAGGTTTCCACCCAAAGGGGAGTTATCGATTCCCCCAGTACTATTTTTGAATCGTCAAATGGTTGCAAGATTAAGGGCTTCGGATTGCTCCAGGATGAAATTTCACCATGCTGTCACACTGGAGGATGCTGCTCATGTATCTGTTTCCTCTGCTGCTCCATGAATTCAATAGGAGCAATACATTACCCTACTCGTGTCACTGAATTAGCAATAACCTACCGCGTCCTTTCGTATCTGCCAACACCTCACTAAAGCAACTCTGACAGATAAATTTGAGATAAATTTTGCCTGCTTTCCTTATCCTTTCAGTACTTAGCACCCACTGTGAACAACTGTGGGATCGATCCAGAAGGAAATCTTAGCGCTAAACAGGTTGTTAGGATGTCATGCTAAATCCTTTCCTGGTCAATCCACTTCCACCTCCAGTTAAGCTACAGGAAAACCAGAAAAGGTTTGACTGATGGTTCTAACGCAGACGTAAACATCATGCAGTGTGAAAATAGACAATTTTGACACAATTTTCTTTCTTTTCAATTTTGTGGGAATTGTTTTACAAATACTATCTCTTTTCTTCCTACCCCAGAAGGGTACATGGAAAGTTTTAAGCAAATGAGAAAACCAACATAAATAAAAACTGTTCATATTAATAAAAAGATATGATTAGCTGGAAGTGCCAAAAACCAAACCAGAATCTCTCTGAACTTCAAAGCTGCATCTTTCATGTAATATTGCTCATCAGGCTTTCAAGTGCTATAATCGTATCACTGTATTTTTCCCCTGACAGCCTTTTTTTTATCCCAGGCTTATGCTCAACAGATGTTATCCCTGATCCTGCAAAAAACTTCCTGGGCAGACTGCTTACTCTCGGAAGTCCCTCCTGGCTGTGAATAAAGCTGTTCAGAGTAAACCACATCATTGGCATTTGCTTGTTCAGTAAATAAAGAGATTTACATAAATTCCAGATTATTTTACTGCCAACCAGAAAGTCACCCCAAAATCAACACTTTGCTGTATCACTGATACTGACAGCTGAGGGCTTAACAGGAACAACCAGTAAAACCAGTGACAGGAAGCCTGCTCCTGCCAAAGCCAATGAAAAAATTCTCACCAACTTCTACTGCAAACTTGGAAGTGTCTACAGTGTTTGTTGCTGCTTTGAATTGACATACCAAAGTTACACGAATTTTCTGGGGAACTTCTTTTGACATGAAGCTTAAGAAAAAGGAATTGTTATTCTTTTCCAACCTTACTGAGCTCTGCTTCCCCACACAGCTGCAGTAAACCTGGGTTGCGTTGCTTCTTACCGGTCTCACAGTAGGGATCGCCATCTTCTAAGTGGAAGACATTATTGCGGATGGGGTTATGACAGGCCACACACACGAAGCAGGAAACGTGCCAAGTTTGTTTCAAAGCATTTATTACTTCCTGTGGGGATTAGAAAACGTGTTATTAACACATTATTTTGAAGTGATGACTAGACTGTGGTGACCATGCCTCCACACTCGATTCGTCTCAAGAATATTTTGTTTCCTGCTGCTACTTGGAAAATGGGTTGTGCACACAATTTCTGACGTTAAATTTATTTATGGTACATCCCCTTGTTTGTCATAAGCAACCTTTCACTTTTTAGAAGATCCAATGTAGAGCTGGACAGATTTAACAGCTCATTTGTTCACCGTTTTCATTTTTCAGGATCTCACCCACAACAGTCCCCTGAAAAAAGAAAAGCGGCATCTCTGACGTCTCCTCAAGGCTGTGAATAGTTAATCAGAAAACATCATGTAGAAAATTATGATCGCTCTGTGTTGTTTTGGAAGATGCAATAGTGCCAAATATGACTTGAGAATTGTGCTGCCAGAGCCCTGCATAACCCCCGTTACACAAGAGTCCAGACGCATTGCCGTCTGCAGTAAAGCGGTGGACGATCTGCTGGCAGGCTCAAATTAGCAATATTAGTGTCAATAACACATCCTTCTACCTACATTACCCCTGGGAACAGTTCAGTACTTCACATTTAGCCAACCAGCAAGTTCCTCAGTGTTCAACCCAGCTAAAGAGCATTATTTAACACACGCCTCCTACCCCCGAATTCTGTAAAGAGCTGCCAATTAAATTTTGCTCAAGAAAATCTAGTAAATCACAACAGCTGCAGAACAGCTTCAGAAAAACAGGAGCTGAACCTGTAAGAGCCAAGAAGATGGCGGCTTCTCAAAGAGACTGAAAAGGCTCGACATTAGAAAAGCCGAAAACATATTCTATGTGTGGTGGGAGCTGAAAAGGTATGTCAGAGTATGTTTGGAAGAACGCAAACTGGGTCAGATAAAGGGGAATTTCATTACAGAGAAGCAATGAACATCGTGGTTATTGTTCCCATTGAGAAGCGGGTCACTTGCTGGTCACTTACCCCAAGAATCTTCCTCTGGCACTTTGAACACTCAGGGGCGAAGAACTTCTCATAGCAGACCTCACAATAAAGCATCCCTTTCTCTTCCACAAATCCAATGTAAGCCATGGAGGTTTTGCAATGAGCACAATTAAACTCCTCTGGATGCCATGACTTCCCCAAAGCCACCAAGAAGGGTCCTCTGATTAGAAAGAAGAGATTTTGTCAGCTAATGCCCCTGGGTTGGCTCCTGCAAAAGTTGTATATGCTTAACCTACGACGATGCCTCTGTGCCATTACTACAGAGTTCACAAACATAAACCACTTCAT